ACTCTAGGTGCAATTTCAGCTATGCTCTATAGTGTTGTCGTCTATCTTTTCTACTTCTATACTCCTTCCCCCATCCAATAAAGGTCAACATTGTATTTGAATTCAGGATATCATGGAATTCCTAAGCAAAAGTGGAAAATGCTAGAAATAGTCAGCAAAACAAGCAGCATCTATGGAGAGAGAAGTGAAGTTAACAGTTCAGGTCAATGAGTGTTTTTTAATGTTGTTCTGGAAGTCACTGTTGTGTACAAATCTTGAATGTCTACGCAGCGGCAGCAAAAATTAGAGGGAATGTAGATTCTAAGGACTGAATCTTACTAGAAATCATGAAAGTTTCATTTTTGGCAAATTTCATGGAGGATTTCTCTCCTTGAGCCTAGTCTGTTTACTCACAGTTTACTCCTAAATTCACCTAATTGCCGATGGAACTTGCAGCTCCAGTATCCCGCTTGTAACCTCCTGCTTGTCACAGACAGAAGTACTTGGCAGTAGTGGGACCTTGCTGGATTCCTGGCATTGGTGCCATCTTTGAAGCATAATCCTGCACCCAGTCAAGCATTAGCAGTCCATAGCTACCCTCCACTGTCCCTGTCAATATTCCCAAACATAGAGCCATACAGTCATACAGATCCTTTGGTCCAACCAGTCCACACCAACCATATTCCCAAACTAAACTAGTCCCACCTGCCTGTACTTGGCCCATATCCCTCCAACATTTCCTATTCATGAACATATCTAAATATCTTTTAAACATTGTGACTGTAGCCACATCCACCACCACTTCCATTGGCAATTCATTCCACACGAACGACTCTCTGTGTAAAAGAATTGTCCTCATTTTATTTTTTAAGCCTTTATCCTCTCACCTTAAAAATACACCCTTTAGTTTAGAACTTCCCCACCTTATCTGTGCCCTTCAAGATTATATAAACCTCCATAAGGTCACCCCTCAACCCCTACGCTGCAGTGAAAAAAGTCCCAGTCTTTCCAGTCTATTTTTATGCCTCAAGCCCTCCATTCCTGGCAACATCCTGGTAAGTGTTTTCTGAACCCCCTTCATTTTAATAACTTCTTCCTATAACAGAGTGACCAGAACTGGAAACATTACTCTAGAAGAGGCTTCACCAATGTCCTATAGAACCTCAACATGATGTTCCAACTACTATACTCAAAGATCTGAGCAGGGAAGGCAAGCATGCTAAACACCTTCTTAACCCTCCTGTCTATCTGTACCAGATAGATGGAAAATTGACACCCTGTGTTGCTGATTGGGACCTCAAGATCTTCATGGACAAAGGGGTATGTGAGGTTACTGCCCATAGATTATGACTTGTTGATGGTGGACTGGAAGAGCAAGTGTTAAACTAAAGTTTCCAGGTTACTGTTGTGACTTTCATGTTGTGAGTTGCACTGACTAGTTTCTATCTGATGGGTAGGAGAATTCAACACCAGTTATGTAACAGTGAAGATGTTAATGCATGCTAATATGTACTAATACATTCAGTAGTAAAAATCTCGTCTCACTGTTCAACACTTGGTCGGAAAATGGAACTCTTCACTCTTGACATTGAGAATTTACTTACTGCTGATCTTACTCAGTCCTCACAACCTTCTTGCAATTGCCTATATTGTTCAGGAGTTGGGAAGATTCTGTCTAAAATGTCCATTGTAACTTCACTATTTTAAAAATACATACTTTAATAAAAAAATTTGCTACATCTACATTATTTCAGCTACTTAATGTCCAATGGCAACAAATATTTAATTCAAATGCACAATCTCTTATGACAGAAGACATTGAATCACTTCAAACAGTCTATAAACATTAGTAACTGTAAATGAAACCAAGCACCTTGCTATGATTATAGCTGGTTGTTCAATCAGTCCTACATTTCTAGTTAAGTAATGAAAACCTTCAGGCTTTTTAAACAATGGAATAGTAAGCAGTGATTTTATAACAGTCCAGCCATTTATTTAAAATATTTGAAGGACATGACCTTTTAAAAATCCTGTCAGTTTCACAGATTCATTTGACCATGCCTTGGACAGGCCTTACGGACAGATGCTTTTGACAGTTTTGACAATTGATTTCAACAAATCTGTCAACAGTTCTATTCAGTTCAATATTTGGAGGATATGCATTTATTTTGTGCATTCATGCCCACTTTTAACAATCCCAAATGATATCTTACCTTTCATAGGGGGCACTTTAGCTTCCTGAAAGGATTCCTGACTGCTTCCAATATGTCCTGCACAATATTCAAAGGGGAACCTTACTTTCCATCAGCTTTAGCAAACAGGGTTAAGGAAAATCCCAAAGCCTTTTATTCATACATAAGGAGCAAGAGGGTAACTAGAAAAAGGGTTAGCCCACTCAAGGACAAAAGAGGCAAGTAATGCGAGAAGTCAGAGAAAATGAGTGGGAGTCTTAATGAGTACTTTGTGTCAGTATTCACTGAGGAGAGGGACGTGACAGATGTTGAGGTTAGGGATAGATGTTTCATAACTCTAGGTCAAGTCGGCATAAGGAGGGGGGAAGTGTTGGGTATTCTAAAAGGCATTAGGGTGGACAAGTCCCCAGGTCCGGATGGGATCTATCCCACGTTTCTGAGGGAAGCGAGAGAGGAAATAGCTGGGGCCTTAACAGATATCTTTGCAGCATCCTTGAGCACGTGTGAGGTCCCAGAGGACTGGAGAATTGCTAATGTTGTCCCCTTGTTTAAGAAGGGTAGCAAGGATAATCCAGGTAATTATAGACCGGTGAACCTGATGTCAGTGGTGGGGAAGCTGCTGGAGGAGATACTGAGGGATAGGATCTATTTACATTTGGAAGAAAATGGGCTTATTAGTGATAGGCAGCATGGTTTTGTGCAGGGAAGGTCATATCTTACCAACTTGATAGAATTCTTTGAGGAAGTGACAAAGTTGATAGATGAGGGAAGGGCTGTGGATGTCATATACATGGACTTCAGTAAGGTGTTTGATAAGGTTCCCCATGGTAGGCTGATGGAGAAAGTGAAGTTGCATGGGGTCCAGTGTGTACTAGCTAGATGGATAGAGAACTGGCTGGGCAACAGATAACAGAGAGTTGTAGTGGAAGGGAGTTTCTCAAATTGGAGAACAGTGACCAGTGGTGTTCCACAGGGATCCGTGTTGGGATCACTGTTGTTTGTGATATACATAAATGATCTGGAGGAAGGTATAGATGGTCTGATTAGCAAGTTTGCAGATGACACTGAGATTGGTGGAGTAGCAGATAGTGAAGGGGACTGTCGGAGAATGCAGCAGAATATAGATAGATTGGAGAGTTGGGCGGAGAAATGGCAGATGGAGTTCAATCCAGGCAAATGCGAGGTGATGCATTTTGGAAGATCCAATTCAAGAGCGAACTATACGGTAAATGGAAAAGCCCTGGGGAAAATTGATACACCGAGAGATCTGGGTGTTCAGGTCCATTGTACCCTGAGGGTGGCAACGCAGGTCGATAGAGTGGTCAAGATGGCATATGACATGCTTTCATTCATCGGACAGGGTATTGAGTACAAGAGTTGGCAGGTCATGTTACAGTTGTATAGGACTTTGGTTCGACCACATTTGGAATACTGTGTACAGTTCTGGTCGCCACATTACCAAAAGGATATAGATGCTTTGCAGAGGGTGCAGAGGAGGTTCACCAGGATGTTGCCTGGTATGGAGGGCGCTAGCTGTGAAGAGAGGTTGAGTAGATTAGGATTGTTTACTTTAGAAAGACGGAGGTTGAGGGGGGACCTGATTGAGGTCTACAAAATCATGAGAGGTCTAGACAGGGTGGATAGCAAGAAGCTTTTTCCCAGAGTGGGGGACTCAATTACTAGGATTCACGATTTCAACGTGAGAGGGGAAAAGTTTAAGGGAGATATGCGAGGAAAGTTCATTATGCAGAGGGTGGTGGGTGCCTGGAATGCATTGCCAGCAGAGGTGGTAGAGGTGGGCACGATAGCGCCATTTAAGATGTATCTAGACAGATGCATGAATGGGCAGGGAGCAGAGGGATACAGATCCTTGGAAAATAGGTAACAGGTTTAGATAGAGGATCTGGATCTGTGCAGGCTTGGAGGGCCGAAGGGCCTGTTCCTGTGCTGTAATTTTCTTTGTTCTTTTGTTTTATTCAATGAAATGTACAAAGTTCAGGTCTGCTTTACCAGGTCAATACTGAACACTCGGTGTCTCACATTCCTGGGTTATGAATATCTGACTAGAGAGGAGGCAGCTTATGACTTAAATGGCCAGTTGCCTCTGTGAATTATGGATGTGTAAAACACAAACCACTCCCAAGAAAGTGGAAATGCCATGTTCAGGGTCAGGAATTTGGATTTTCGGCAATTTTTCTCATTTTTGCTACAGTGGAGATTATTTCCATGGAGAGAAACTCCCTATTGTGGCAAAAATGATGAAAGTGCCGAAACTCCCCGATGTACTGAAAATTCAGGTTCAACTCTTCTGAACTCTCCTATCTTCTAAATAAAAACTGAAAGAACTGCGCTTGCTGTAAATCGGGAATAAAAACAGAAGTTGCTGGAAAAGCTCAGCTGGTCTGGCAGCATCTGTGAAGAAA